AAAATGAACCTTTGGTCTAATTACACATTGTTACCTAGTCAACCGTTATCTGAGATTTGTTTTCATGATTATCGAATGTAAATAGTTTTATCTCTAAAAACAGTTTAGCCTATAAAGCTAGTATAACGCTAGTATATTGGGCATAGTGTAATGACAAATAAAAATCGCTTGTTAATACCACTAACAAGGCTGAAAATAGACCCACACTAACACGGTAGCTTAATGAGGGTCCCTACCTTCAAACCGAAGCATTGAGAACTTTGTAAGTGTACAGACAGTTTAATAAGAAGATATTTTAAACATACAGTCAACTTCGTGTATACAGGCAGAAGCCATCTTTGAAATACAGCCTTTACCAGTCGATCTACGAACGCCGATCCAAGTGCGCTGGTGAGAATGATAAGGTGAGCGCGAACAGCAGGCTTGGATCGGCGTTCGTAGATCGACTGGTAAAGGCTGTATTTCAAAGATGGCTTCTGCCTGTATACACGAAGTTGACTGTATGTTTAAAATATCTTCTTATTAAACTGTCTGGACACTGACAAAGTTCTCAATGCTTCGGTTTGAAGGTAGGGAGCCTCATTATGCTACCGTGGTAGTGTGGGGCTATTTTGAGCCTTGTTAGTGGTATTAACAAACGATTTTTATTTGTCATTACACTATGCCCAATATACTAGCGTTATACTAGCTTTATAGGCTAAACTGTTTTTAGAGATAAAACTATTTACATTCGATAATCATGAAAACAAATCTCAGATAACGGTTGACTTGGTAACAATGTGTAATTAGACCAAAGGTTCATTTTGCGCCGGAGTTCTCCTTTAAGTTCAGTAATGAAGTAAAAATGCTTAGTTAATGTCTACCACTGCGAATATGTAATGTTTCTGCCTCTGAACTGCTGCTCTGCACGGCGCCTGCAGATTCACAGTCTCTAAGCAACTGAAACAAGATTCAAAGGGAGCTAAACTGGGTTCAGGTAATTAACTCTGATGGATTGGTTAGCTTTCGTAGCTGATTAAGGTGTTCATGTAAACTGTGAATTAATGCGCCATCCAAATACTTCAGAAATCTGCACCTTTTTTTTATGTTGTACACCCTCCTCCCTCTCTGCTTTCTTGAGTTGGCCCTGATCGTTTCAGTTAATGATCTGAATCATGCACTGTACATCCTGTCATGAACAATCCAGTCATGGATCTGCTTTTCCTGATGCCTACTGCTTAAAGTGCTAGGAAACATTATACGATATTAAAAGCACAGTGTTGTTCCAAACCCGTATGATTTCTTTCTTCCGCAGATCAAGAAAGGAAATATTTTGAAGAATGTCCATGCTGTGGTTTTCCATACACTAAAAGTGAATGGGGACCAGGGGCTCTCGAGCTCCAAAAAGTCACACCATAATAAAAGTGCACTAAATTCCAAATCTTCTGTTATTTTTGTGTGAGGAACAGACTGAAATTTACTAAAAGATTTGTATGCCTTTAGCTTGACTGCCGTGGTCATCATTTACTTTCATTGTATGCAAAAGAGCTGCTTGGATTTCTCAATAAATAGTTCCTTTTCATGTTTCACGGAAGAAAGGAAGTCGTATGCGTTTCAAAAAGTACACCATGACAGCATTTTCATTTTTGGGTGAACTATCCCTTTACGATTAACACTTTACTGAAAGTTTAAGGGTATTAGATGCTTAAAGTTCTACCAAAATGAAAGTATTTTGAATTTAACTTAAATTCACTTCTAAAAGGCACTAAATTGAGTGAGAACAGACTGCATAGCCTTTGCCACGGAAAACAGTAATTAAGCCACATCAACCAATGATGGATGGGTGTCATATGGCCACTTAACTAATGTGACACAATGATGAATGATGAGGTGAAGTGTTTTAGAGATAATCAGGGCTTGGATTCATGCCAACTGTAGTACACGGGTATTGTTTCGATGCATTTAATGACATCTGCAAAGAGAGCACAGGTTCCATTTGGTAATCAGCAAAATACCATTTTTTAGCTTGATTTCAACAAGACAAATCCAGATGTGAGGCACCTCACACCCTAAAAATAACCCCAAAGACATCATATCCCAAAAAAGTGATGCATGCTCTGCCTTTTCCAATCATGTTCTGCATATTTTCCTGTTTTGACAAAGAACAGTGGTCCTTCAGCCAAATGCACTTATATCATCCAGTCAGGCGAGCGTGTGTAAAAATCTGCTTTCAATTAATGCACAATGATTTATTCTTTAAGAGCTCTGTATGAGAACAGTGAGGGGGATTAGAAAAATAAATCACTGCTGAATGTTTGAGTTATTGCTGTTTGATGTGTTTTGTTGGCGTTGATCTACAAAGCAAGACTCTCTCGTGCCCGCGAGGTCTGCCTGCACTTAAAAGGCATCTTCAGAGATGCAGATTCTCTGTATTAATTGTTTTACACATCATAAACGTTTACGAGGGTCTGTAAAAAATTCAAAAGGAACTTAAAAAAATGACAAAACATCTTGAGTGCAAGTTATTCAGAGGAATATGCTTAATGGATTATTGCAACCACAGTCAGTGTGTATGTGCAAAAGGAAAGAGGGAGGGGTCACATGGGTAAATATGTAACTAATTAAGATTTAAATATTCGGTATTGAGCGGATAGTGTTTGTCAAATACTTAGTTAGGATAGAAACACATTAAACCCACAAAAGCACTGTAGAAAGCACAGATTTTGTCAGATGTTTATTTTTATTTGAGCAGAAGACAGTGGAGCAAAATATGAAGCACTCAAACAATATTTAATGGCTTTGCAGAGTGCCCAAGGCCATTTTAAATTTAATAATGTGGGTTCACTTGATATATTTTGAAAATGTCTATTGATTTATTCCACCTGGGCTGAAAAATGCATTCTTCTGAGCAGCTATGCAAGAGAAATCTAATTTAAATCGTACGGTGGCCAAGACCGTTAAATCATATGGATGGACAGAACAAGATAGGGAGATGTGAAAAACTAAAGTGTTACACAAATGGATGTGGTAAATACTGACTTATGGAATAATGACTTATTTTATGGAAAATAAACCCTTCTTATATTTTATAAAAGCATCTGACCAGATGACGGAGCCTTAAACAATCCCTTAAAGGGATAGTTCACCCAAAAATGAAAATTCTGTCATTTACTTGTTCAGGTTTGGAACATCTTGTTGATAGAATTTTTATTTTTGAGCGAACTAAACTGAAAATTCTGCCATGATTTACTCACCCTTATGTTGGTCCAAACCTGTATGACTTCGGTTAAACATAAGAGATAATATGCAAGATGTCTGTTGTTCTGTTGAAATACATTGTACAGACAAAAAAACTCCTTAAAAATATTGTCTATTTTCAGAAAAAATAAAGTCATGTTGGTTTGAAATGACATGAGGGTGAGTAAATCATGACAAGTATCTAACAATGCAGCCTGTATTCTCACTGGCAAGCAGGCTGGAAATTTTACTTTTTAATTTAATTAACTTTAATTGTATCAAATGTTCCATTATTGCTGTGTATTAGTGGTTTAAATGGAAACCAAAAGGATCCAAACAGGTAGCTGAACAAGTGTACCTTTGAAGACAGAAGGTGAACCTGGAAACAGTTACCGGCACTCTCCTGAAGCATCGGCGAGCCAAAAGCATTGGCGCATTTTTCCAACACCAGCAATGCAATCGAGCAAAGGATTTTCTCAGACAACGAGGCACCTAACATTTTAAACGGCTGTTTGATAAGGTATCCAGAATGGGCGCCTTACCCCACTCTTCATCAATGAGAGGCCTGCACGGGGTGAGCTAAGGGAATGAGCAAACACCTAACTGCACAAAACCAAATTGTTTTCCGTCACAGAATGCAGCTGGACAAGGTAATTAAGTGTCAAAACACTTTTTTTTTTTTTTTTTACATATCAAATGATCACAAAGTGACAAAATCTGAATATTTAATACATAAAACGGCCAGAAAATTCTCACTTTGCTGGTCCTCATGTTTGAAAGCACAATTACAAATGTTTTACAACAATATAAAGAACACTGTTCTTGTGTTCGGTTGCACACACCCACTCAGATCTAAGTTTAGGAGCCTTTCCTCAGGGAAAAAAAAGTGAGTTTATGGGGAATGATGTCTTGGCACAAAACGCTCAATTTCATGTCTGTGGCACTGGATCAGAAGAGCTTGGACTGATTTTGATATGCATTTCCAGAGGCATGCCATTCCACACAGTAAGTTTAGTTTTGATAAATGGAAATGTCCAAGATCAACACAACTACGGTGCCAGAAAGTGACGTCATTTAGAAATATGAAGCTTGGAGGAAAAAACTCCTCGACTCACAGGAACCAAACAAGACAGCAAGCGAAAAACATTTTCTTGACCATTGAGCAGCTTTTTAATGGACTTAATAACTCATGAAATCTGACTAAAGCACTAATATTTATTTTACAAGAATATTAATACAAACAAAAAGAAAAATGATTTCAAACTTATATTTATTATCCAGCAACATTCTAAAAAATGGCCAGACAATGACCAAATAAACCTATGGAACATGAATTTGCAAAGAAATAGTCAAGTAATGGAGGTTGGCCATATGCTTTCGGTAAGGACATCCAGCATGTAGTTAAGTGATAGTCAGCATATACATGTTGTTCATGTAGAAGCAGAAATCTACTCCATGTCAATGTCTAAGAGGGGCCTTTCAGTGACAAACAAGATATACTTCCTCCTTATAGCATCATACGTGGTTCATAGGAAAGTCACTGCTTAAGTGCTTAAAAGGAATATAGTTCACCCAAAAATGAAAATTGTGATTATTTCTTCACCCCTGTTATTTTATATATATATATATGTGTGTGTGTGTGTGTGTGTGTGTATATATATATATATGTGTGTGTGTGTGTGTGTGTGTGTGTGTGTGTGTGTGTGTGTATATATATATATCAATATATATGTGTGTGTGTGTGTGTGTGTGTGTGTGTGTGTGTGTGTGTGTGTTTAGGGTGAGTAGTTAACAACAATTTTCATTTACAGGTGAACTATTCCTTTAAAAGTCCATGAAAGAATAAGACAAATAAATCATTTCTTCTGGAAAAATCCCATAATGGATGGCTGTTTTGTAGATTTGTTAGTGGCAGAGGTCTTCTTCTGACTCTTTTCTTTTTTCTCTTCCTCCTTTTTTCCAAATGACTGCTTGATTGAACTTGAGTCCTTGGCTTGACTTTTGGGTTCAGGCTCCTCTTCACTCTCAGAGTAAGACTCACTCACATAACCCTTCTCGGTCACTAGGAAAACAGATACATTTGATAATTAATATCAGAGAGACACTGTCAATAAGCATGTGGTGATCTATATCTTGAATTTATTTTTTCACAAGAGATGTTGCCATACATTTTGGCCTAAATAAAGTTCCTTAGGTGGCATAATTAATATTAACAGCCATTGTTACTGTGCTTATGTATTTAAATACTGCATCTGTAGACAGCACCAAACCATTAGAACCATACACATTTCTGACTGGACACTCTAAACCTTCATCTGGGCAACCATGTATGCACCAGCAAATGAATAATAAAACAAACAAACAAACAAACAAACAAACAAACATATGCAACGAGTTTTTACCACCATGCAATAAAAATATCCACTTCAAAGAGTTATTGTGCTGAACAGAAAACTGGCATTAAGGAATGTGTAATATTAGACACTGTGCTAAGTACAAAAATAATACCAGTGCCTCGAAGTTCTAGGAATCAAACACAAACATTCATGCTTTTGGTCTTCAAATACAAAGATTTCCTTCGCATGAACAAAGACAAAAATAATCTGGAATAAATATTTTCAGCACAAACAGTTTGTCAGCACTCTGTATTTCTTTCATATAACTTGTACATATAACAAGTTATATTTGTTATATGTACAATATTTTATATTTTAAAGCTTTAATATTTTTAAGACAGGATGTACAGAACATCATACAAAGATATAGAAGAAAATGTATAAAAACATTTTGGATCAATAAAACTAAGAAATAAAATAACTGCAAAAAGGCCACAATGCAGACAAGATTTGCATTTCACATGTTGGCAAATCAAATTAAATCGGCTAAATTGCCTGTGCGAGCACGCTCTATAAGTACAGCGCAACATCGATATACCGAAACTAACAGAACTACAGAATTAAATCAGAACAGAATATACATTTCTAATAATAATTTAAAAACAAACAAACAAATATCAAACAAAGTTGGGAGGAAATATGTGATCTGCATTACATCATAATGGCATTTGGTCTTAAAATGGCAGCAGTCTAATAAACTAATAAAGACAATTAATGTTTATCAAACAACAAAAGCCAAAGAGAAAATTACTCACAGATCTTGAATGAATAACTTTCATTGCTTTAATAAGCATTAAACTATCAATTTATACAGTGAAAACTATGCAATGTTATTTTACATTTGATTACTTCATTAGATTTCTTTTGTAGGCCACATTACTTGAAATTAAACCACTGCTTATTTAATTTGTATCTTTGTTTTATTGTTTTTATTTGACCAATTGTTTGTACTTTGTTTCTTAGTTCTTGTTCTTATTGTATCTTATCTTATGTATATAAAACAAAAAAATGCCTGTACACTGGTGCATTTACAAATAATTTTTTTTATATTTGTTTTGTTCAAACATTGCCGTTTCTTTTGCTATAGATATTTATTTTAAATTTCAGAATAAAGCAATTTTATTTGTTATTAATTTGTTTCTTTTTTTATAAAAAAAAATAGCAAAAAAAAAGAAAAGAGATAAGAATACCGTTAAAGTCTTGGATTGATAAGCAGTATCGTAAGAGTAGTAATACCATTAAAACCTTAATGATACCCATCCCTACTCTACAGATGATGATGATGTCTAACTCTTATCTGTATGACCATAAATTATGGATTATTTTAAGTAGTTTCCGCTGTTATAAGGAAAAAACTCAAATGATCGCACAGACACCTCACATGCGCACAGACACAACATATCAGTTCTAGCATTGCTAACTTGACATCACAGCCTGTTCATTATCAAAATAAAATACAAATATACTTTTTTTTTAACAAGCAGCAAACGTTTTAAAACATCTTGTAAAATTACCTCAAGCATGACTTAAATTACTTTTTCAACCATTAAACTGATAGTATTAACCTGTCAAAATTCTTACTGTTGTTTAACGGTTACCCAATTAATTATGAGCATCCTCACTTTAAATCCTTGATTTCAAACTGTTGCACCATGTCCAGCACAAACTTGCCAGTTTACTGAGTGCACTGTTGGCTAGAGTTTACTTCCTTCATTAATGTTTTTAACTATTTTGTTATTTGTGAAAAATACTGTAATAGGATTACAGAATCAGAATCATCATACATATCAGCCATTGGACACAATGCTCTCGAAGATATAGGCATCTGCCATCAAAAAAATCCATACAGGTCAACCACTAATCAAGACAATTGGATAATCATGTCAACTGAAATATACTTACCAAAGGAACCGTCTTCATCAACAAATGTGTGAGACTTCAAAACACGCCTCCTTTTCCTCCTCTTCACCTCTGAGCTCTCCTGAACATAATTAAATGGAAATATTACTTTATGTAAAATACAAGTGAGATGTTTGTGTTGTAAATTAATGTGCAGTATCCAGTCACAAGGAAATAGCACACATTAAATGTTTTTTTTTCTTGCAAAAAACAAATTTTGTTCAATGGCTAACTTTGAATGGCCATCAATGAGTATGGTTATCTATCAGCAGGAGCTTAATACCCATGCTAACCAGGCAAACCTTGACCCTCTTGTTTGAGTGGCTTGGCATGTTTTGGTCAACAAATACCAAAAAAAAAAAAGTGATGCTTACTTGGTGTGAAACAGGCTCTCTCTTCACTTGTTTTTTGGGGCTGGGAGTCTGTTTGGTTGGCACAGGTGGAGAATCTGGCACAACTAGAAGAGGAAAAGAAGAAAAGACAGATCAAATACATACATCAGATATATATATATATATATATATATATATATATATATATATATATATATATATATACACAGACAGAGGAAAAGACAGAACGAGACAAGAAATGAATGAGATGAATGTTATCAATTAGCTTTTGTTTGTCAGAGAACAATTTTGATATTTCATTCAGCACTCTGCCCAGAGGGAGAACCCATTTCTTTGTTTTTCTTCATTTTGGGTCACAGAACGCCTCATCTGGATTGATTCAAATCCACCAAGCATGACGTGAGCCTGTTTTTTTTCCTTCTTCTTCTTGTTTTCCCCCTATCTCTTTCGTACCTTCATCATCACTGCTGTCTGGCTGGGGCTTCTTTATACGCCGTCTCTTTTTCTGCTGGTTCTCCATTTTCTCATCATCACTGTCCACAACCTCAGGACGCTTTGATTTACTTTGAGAAAACAAACATATTTTAGCTCACATTTTTGAGGACAAATATAACATTCCATATAATCCAGACTCTTTAAGGAAATTGATTAAACCTTTAAATGTTGCATTAATTGCAAAATAATGGCTGTGTTTCCACTGTATATTTATTTTGTATATATAGCCTACTACACACACACACACACACACACACACACATTTATACACACATACAGCTCTGGAAAAAATTAAGAGACCACTGTAAAATTAGAAGTTTCTTTGGATTTACTATTTATATGTACCGTATTTTCCGCACTATACGGCGCACCGGATTATAAGGCGCACCTTCAATGAATGACCTATTTTAGAACATTTTTCATATATAGGGCGCACCGGATTATAAGGCGCATAAGATACTGCAGTCAAACGTTTGACTGGGTTTGCGTTATGCATCCACTAGATGTCAACAAAACAGTCAGATAAAGTCAAACTTTATTAAGCTTTTTGACAACTCCGTTCACTCCCATGGTAACGTTGTTCAAACGTTAAAGGAAAACTCCGGTCAATTTTAACATTAAGCTCATTTTTTGTAAATTTGGAGTGCTGTCAGAACAGATAACAACGACAAAAACCGGTGTTGCCTACACCGTGTTATCCTCTTTTTAAAATTTGCACCCTGTTGACTTAAACGGGAAAAGTTTTAAACCTGCTTTTAGCCTCTTAACAACCTTAATGTGTCATTACAAGTGCACAGCCATGTGAGTGAACACGGTGAATCTGACTCCAGTAAATGTGAAAGATATGAATAAAAATGATGTTTATTCAGCCAGCTCACATACCCGTATTTTCTTCCTGTTTTCGGTCGAAGTCCACAGTAGGCGATTGTCGAGTGCGCGCGCGCGATCATTGGTAACTAAGTAACAGTGTAGACTCAGACTGTCAGCTGTCAGCCGATGACGGTGCTGTGTGGTGTTCTGAGAATATCAGCTCAAATGGATAGTTCATCCGAATCAGATATTGAACACACGGAGGAGGTTTGATCGCGCGCGCGCGAACTCGACAATCAACTACTGTGGACTTCGGGCCAAAACAGGAAGTAAATACGGGTATGTGAGCTGGCTGAATAAAGAGATTATTCCTGCCTTCGTGAAAGCTCGGATCACAGGAGACTGATATATCAGCCCAGGCATCCAAGATCCATTGCCAGATAGTGGCGTAAGTCGGCCGGCGCTGTCTCCCCATCCATATATAAGGCGCTCCGCATTATAAGGCGCACTGACGTTTTTTTAGAAAATTAAAGGCTTTTAAGTGCGCCTTATAGTGCGGAAAATACGGTATGCGTTTGAGTAAAATTTTAACTACTGACAGCATTTTTTGTTTTTACAAATTTTACGAAAAAACATTGTCATTTAGAGCATTTATTTGCAGAAAATGACAACTGGTCAAAAAAAAAAAAAAAAAAAAAAGATGCCATGTTTTCAGACCTTGAAGAATATTCCAAACCAACATGGCAACATGGTCTTGGCATGCTCTCTATCAGTCGGTCACATTGCTTTAGTTTTGGGTGACTTTATGCCACTTCCTGGCGCAAAAATTTAAGCAGCTTGGTTTTGTTTGACAGCTTGTGACCTTCCATCTTCCTCTTGATCACATTCCAGAGGTTTTCAATGGGGCTCAGGTCTGGAGATTGGGCTGGCCATGATAGGGTCTTGATCTGGTGGTCCTCCATCCACACCTTGATTGGCCTGGCTGTGTGGATTGCAGAGAATATGAGCAAAGTGGTGTGACACTCGACTCAATATTCGGCTCTATGCCAGGGCTCATGGCCCGAGCGAACGCTCCACTCATCCACCTGTTCACGCTCACTGGTAAAACGACATTCGTTCAAATCCTCGCTCATTAAATTTCTCGGTACTATATGTCTATCTGTTTCTAACACTTGAATAAATGTCACAATTACAGTAGGCCGATACAAAGCAGTTATGATATTTGTTAGCCTGGATGCCAGCCGAACTTAGCCCCGCCCACAACATTTGAGGATGTGAAGTTCGGTCTGGACTTGATCCGTTGAGAAGCAAGTATCCCCGAACCAAAGCTGTTCGGACCAATCAAATTGTCAGGGCGGGCATTATACGATGATGGACAGCTGATCAACCGTAACGTAATCATCCACGTCACCAAAGAGCGCTTGGGTTGAATTCGTTTACAACATAGTATGGCTGCCACTGGAGAATTGAGATGTGTAGATTCAGCCAGCGCTCCTGTTATAGAAGATGTAGACAGCGCATTCATTTTAAAAGAGGAACAGAGAACCGCGATCAAGGCATTTGTCGATCGGAAAGATGTTTTTGCCGTCCTTCCTACAGGATTCGGTCTATCCAATTGAGTGTAGAGGCATTTTTTTTCCTATACATTGAAGGGGGAATCTCCTCAACCACCACCAATGTGCAGCATCCACCTGAATGATGCGACGGCAGCCATATTGTGCCAGAACGCCCACCACACACCAGCTTACTGGTGGAGAGGAGACAGAGTGATGAAGCCAATCAGTATATGGGGATGATTAGGAGGCCATGATGGACAGAGGCCAAGGGGCAAATTTGGCCAGGATGCCGGTGTTACACCCCTACTCTTTTTCGAAGGATATCCTGGGATTTTTAATGACCACAGAGAGTCAGGACCTCGGTTTAACGTCTCATCCGAAGGACGGTGGTCTTTGACAGTATAGTGTCCCCGTTTGTATACTGGGGCGTTAGGACCCACACAGACCACAGGGTGAGCGCCTCCTGCTGGCCTCACTAACACCTCTTTCAGCAGCAACCTGGTTTTCCCAGAAGGTCTCCCATCCAGGTACAGACCAGGCTCAGCCCTGCTTAGCTTCAGTGGGCAACCAGTCTTAGGCTACAGGGTGATATGGCTGCTGGTAAATACATGGTGATATGGCTGGCTTTGGCTGCTGGTAAATACCGTAATTCTTGCGGTAAAACATTGTCAAAGCAGAAGGAAGCAAGTTTTTTCAGGAATATAGAAAACAAAAATGTAACTTTACTCAAACCCATACATATAAATAGTAAATCCAGAGACACTGCTAATTTTGTAGTGGTCCCTTAATTTTTTTCCAGCGCTGTGTGTGTGTCTGTATGCATGTATATTTTAGGGAAATATAAACTCATAAAGCTTACTTCCGAGTGTCTTTTGATTCAACTTTCAAAGCACTGGACACCTTAGATCGTTCCTCTTTAATGGCAAACTCAGATTTGGGAGACGGCTGTGACAGTTTCACACTTGCAGTATTCGATGCTGCGGAGTCACCGCCGGTCTCCTCTTTGATGCTTTTGTTGGGTTTTTCATCTACCTTTTCTAAATTTTACAGGAAAACGTTTTGTTTATTGCTGTACGTTATGTCTTTTTAGTTTTTTTGATAGTTGAAGACAAAAAAAACAAACAAAAAAAACCACTCACTTTGGGCAGACTTCCCAAAGAAGTTACTCATAGGGTTCGCTTTGGAGGCCGGTTTGGTTTTTGAGGTTTCAACCTACGACATATGAAACCATTATACATTTTTACACACAATCTTGTGTGTCTTCAACCTTAAACTATAGAGTTACACACTTACCAGGGAAGAATCATCTTTCTGCTCTGTTTTCACTTCCTTGCTGGATTCTTGACTCTTAGAAGCATTTTTGCTAGCAAACATTCCCATGATGCCTGCTGGCTGCTTAGCACTAGGTTTTGAGGTAGCAGAAGTGTTTTCATTCATGCGAGGTTTATTGATTTCCTTCTCCACTGGAGGGACCAAAGCCACCTCCTGAGCTCTCTGCAGCTCTACAGATGGCATGGGGACCGCCGCAGAACAACGTATAGCGCTGTACCTGGCGAATGAGGAGAAATATCGGACGTGTCAGTACTTTAGAGGAGGTATCGCTCATATGATGAATGCATACAGGTTATATGAGGATCACTCACTTGTTGCAGTTCTTTAGGTTCTCCTTAACAGCATCGTAATCTGTACTGTAAAGTGGAGAACTATCCTTCAGCTCCGCTCTCTGCACACTGTAGACATGCACACTGATTGTCACATCCATCTTTGCTTTAACAGCTGTAAAAAAAAAAGAAAAAAGATTCTCCTCAACTGAAAACTGTAAATAGAAAATGACATGAAAACACGTATGGCCTGAAATTTCACTTGGGTTACCGCTAACACAGATTTAAATATTTCTTTTTATTTTGCTCCCGATATTTTTTATATAAAACAATAGAACTAAAAATGTAAATTAAATAAATATAAATAACTCTAAAACCATTTTTGTTAACATTTAAATATAACTTATTTGATATAAAAATCATCCCCTCAAACAATTAAAATATATGTTAGCTACCACTAAACATAACTAAAAAAAAACCAGATGAGATGTGGGAGACTGGGACATTTGTGAGCCAAGAATTGTTGAATTTATAAAATGCTATTTGTTGTAATTTACAGATACAAAAATGATAATCTTACCGTCAAGCTTGTCCTCACGTACTACTGACACTTTATGGCACTAAAAGGAAAGGGAAATATTCAATGGCAGATCTTAAAATAATGTTAATTCCTTTGAAGCAATGATCAGATCTCAGTCCTTACCGTACTACCATTCTCAACTAACTTGCCAGATACAAGGTAGGTGGCATGAAGGGGAGTCCCTGAACTTTCCCTGCGTTTCTGCTCCAAGTAATGATACAACATTCTGCAACAAAGTGACATGAACACCAGTGACTCCAACAGATTATCAAGAAGAAAATGTATGCTGAAATACATTGAAAATGGCATGAATGGAAAGGACAGGACTTACTGTTTTGCAGTGTTCACGTGGACTCCAAGAGTTAAACTGAGCCATTTGTAAGTGACCTGCAAAAAACAAAATATAAATGCTGGGTGTAGCCGTACGCTTCTCATGCTACCTAAATGCAACATAACATAACGTTACGAGTTCGAATCATAAGTGTAATTCTTTCGGAAATCAGACTGCGCTGAAAAAACCCGTCAACGGAACCAGGGGCGTAGCCAGTACTGGGCCAGGGCGGCACTGGCCCGCCCACATTACTCACTGGCCCGCCCAGGCAAGTTTGATAAAAATAGATTTTTAGTTTATTTTTATTCAAATGTATTTAAGAAAATATATTAATATATACCTGATTTATTGTTGACTGCTGTGTGTGTTTAATTCGTTTTCCGAATAAAATGGAACTGTCGAAGCAAGTTGTAGAAAGCCTCTCTCCGGAACGTTATTGGTTGCTATGGTTGCTGGGGGTTCCGACAGGAAAACTCTCAGCGGCGTCGGCGCCACAATAATGGCTAAACAACTTTCTTTAATGTGCTATTTGAAAAAAGCAAAAGTTGAGGAAGAAGACACGCCACTGCCTTCAACTACCGAGTCCACACAGCCCAGTTCTTCCGACTCATTACCCCAGGAGAAGGCTAGTCAGGTGCTGGTGGCGGCTGCTTCTTGCTCCCTCTCTCCCGGTCAGCCCGACGCGGGTTTACCCGCCGATCTAATTGCGATATTATTATTTTAGCTTACTTTATTTTCGGGTGAACTGTCTTTGCACTGCTGACATGTTGCAGAAAAATAGACAGGTTATTGTCTACACTGGTTTGTCCAGCCTTTATTAAGCTCTGTTGGTTGAACATGATGATTTGCCGAATATAAAGGTGTAACTGTTTTTGCAGTTTGTCGATTCATTTTTCTACTCTCTAAGGTTAATTATTACTGAAGTCATTTTTTTCTATGAAAAACTATAGGCCCAGTCACATTTTCACTGGCCCACCCAAAATACAATTTCTGCCTACGCCACTGAACGGAACCGAAGGTCATAAAATCAGTCGGTCAGGGTATTTGTATTGATTCCCAACTCTGGCCAGTCAAGTAAACAAGCACTCAACCACATGTATGCATATTGGTATCTCAACTGAAAGTTCACATTTACAAATAACAATAACGATAGCGATATCGTTGTGAAGATTGACTTACGATCTTATTTTGATCATTCACAAATTCATCAATATTGTCTAAATACAGGTCATCCATATCCGGAATGACTGGCTGCTGAATCAATGTCCAAGTTGTGATTGAAAGAGCTGCCAAACGCGGGAACTGCTGCTGGACCGTATTTACTTCCGGTCATGTGGGGTAGAGCGTCCAATAGCAGCCAGAGGTACTAGTCTACTACACACTTTACAACAAAACATGTGCATTCGCTTTTTATCATGCTTAAAGGGATACTCCACCCAAAAATGAAAATTCGGTCATCATTTACTCATCCTCAAGTTGTTGCAAACCTGTATGAGTTTCTTTCTTCTGCTGAACACAGACGAAGATATTTTGAAGAACGATTGGAACCAAACAGTTGTTTGGCACCATTGACTTCCATAGTAGAAAAAAAAAAAAAAATAATAGTATGGAAGTCAATGGTGCCAAAGTTCCAATCGTTCTTCAAAATATCTTCCTTTGTGTCCAGCAGAAGAAAGAAACTCATACAGGTTTGCAACAACTTGAGGGTGAGTAAATGATGACCGAATTTTCATTTTGGGGTGGAGTATCCATTTAAGCTATTTACCATGTTAGTACGAGACGAGTACGTTTGCACCGATTTAATTTGCTTGCAGTTTCTTGTATGTTTGTGCGACTTTTGTTTATAAAATATTTCAGGAGCTCTTGTAACCCTTACAAAAGTTTTGGATGTCTAATGCCTATGAATAACTTAGGCTACTATTATAAACAATGCAACACACAGTGGGAGTTAGAAGTGACAGTGGTACCTATTATAAGTTTCAACATTTTATTGTAGCAACAAGAACTGTTGTAACTATTATTTTATTATATTTTATCTTTAATTTATCGAGAGGTATTTATAGTTTTATGTTATTTAATCATATTTTATAATTTATGTTAACTTAAGTTATAACTTTATTTAAGAATGTATTATTATTAGGCTATTAATGTTAATTATTTAAAGTTATAGGAATTTTGGCAAAAACTTTGGTTACTGTGGTAGATTTTTCTATGGCATTGTTTAAAATGGTTTAATTTGCTGTTTTTAGCAAAAGTCTGTCAGAAACATAAAATATTTTTCTCAAAATAGTTATTTAACTGAACTCATTAGTGTAGTTTCTCAAATGAATTATATTACCTGTGCACACATAGGCCTAAAGTAGTCTTTCCACCTTTGGTTTCAGTTCAAGTTGACAGTTGACAACCACAGATTTATTTATTATTTATTATAGGACACATACTTATTACAAACACATGTCTTGTCTTTTACAAGGACTATTACAAAAAAAAAAAAAAAAATCACAGAAAGTTAACCAATATTTTATTAGTTTTATTATTCCATCAGTGCTGTTAAATATGCAGACAAGAAAACAGTTTATTAGGTTCCTCTTAACATGATGATTTGAAATCCTTGATCATGCTATTCGATGACAATCAGTGTTATATACACAACCATTTAAAATATGTCAATCCTTAAGGCATCTCTGACACATCTCTTCATGTACATTATTACAAATTAAATATGTAGGCGTGTGATGAGTTAAAATACAGATAATTATCATAGGTAAGACTGGATTCACATGGTGGACTTTTGAGGAACTTTTGCCACATAATTTTCAATTATCAAAGAAAATGTGATACACAGCATCTGAAAAGAAGAAAAAAAATACTATAAGTATTTTAAAATAGGTTATAACTGAAGTAACAGACATGAAACAGTTAGAAGAAATGGTGTCAGTCATAAGGGTTCCCAGGATCCATCAAATTTGATAAATGAGAAAGCTTGTAAACATACTTTATCACTAGAAAAATCTAAATAATCCATTAAAACTGAAAGTATTATGCAGTCTTTTAAGACAAATCTTCTTATATAGAACCTTTTTGGCATTATGTGTTCTTTAAAAAAGAGTCAAGAACCCATAGGGTAAATAGAGAACCCATTGAGCCTTTTTTCTAAGAGTCTATTGCTATAGGCATAAATGTAACAGTACTTACAAGAATCCCTTGCCACAGCCTAAGGGTCCAAAGTAAAGCTCTGAAGGCAGACACACTCCTTGTCTGCAAACTCCACTGAGACTTGCACAGCTCCAGGGAAATGATGCAGCCTCGTTCTCTTTGCCTTAGACAGAAATTAAATGTTTTAGCACTGCAATTCTACCAAAATGATTAAAAAAAAGAAGATCTGGAGCCATGTATCCATGAGTTTTAGCCATGAGTTTAGCTGTTCTACCGTTCAAGTTTTCCCCACTGTAAACTGTAAAGTTTTAGGTTCACACAAGCAAATATATCTTAAATAAAAGTCAGTTTAAACACTTCTAGCACCAAATGCGAACATACAAAACGTACAGTGCAATGCTAAGACGGCAAGGACAAGCAAGACAAGTATACTCTGAGGTTTCATTTTGGTTTCTTCGGATGATGGCACTCCTGAGACGTTTGCACAGTACTCTGGTCAAGCTGGGTCTTATTTTCCAGAAGGAGGAGTAACTCATCTGAAACCACTCCAATCAGACTTTTAGTTAAAAATTGAATTATGTAGCAGAATGAATAGACGTACTGTTCTTAATCTTATTTGGTGTAATCAGAAAATACAAAAATGCAAGAGGCATTCACACCATCACGTGTTTGAGGCTGCAGCAAATTATCAACGTAAAAAAAAAATCATCACCTGATCCGAAACACATGCTTATCCAGATGGCTTTAATTTGTATGTGTCTTAATTTTGAGGATCCTGACATTGCTGAGACCCTCTGCATTTGACTCTTGCATATGGTTTTATTGTGTTCACTTCTGTACACAACACTAACTTGGAATTTTAGTTTGGAGGAAAGAATTCACAAAAATAGATGTTTGAAACAGATAGATGTTTTTTTTTTTACTCAAACCTTATAGTTGTGGCCCTTGTATTAGTTGCTTTTTTACATGACACTAGACTCATTTCTACAATAAATAATATTTAATTTCCAATAATGTCCAGTAAATTCCTTAATGTATTTAATTTTAAATGTAGGTTCATGTTGCAAAATTGAAAAAGTTACTTGGCAAACAAAACAGCACAGTTGTCTTGTGACAGAAATTTAGGAGAAAATTCAGAAAAAAAAGTGTAATAAAATTGAACAAGAGAAATAATATAACATTTAAATTGGAAATATATTTTAAAAGTATATCATCAATTTACAGTTATCATTAGTAATTAAATATAGAACTATAATATATATATAGGTACACTCACCTAAAGAATTATTAGGAACACCATACTAATACTGTGTTTGACCCCCTTTCGCCTTCAGAACTGCCTTAATTCTACGTGGCATTGATTCAACAAGGTGCTGAAAGCATTCTTTAGAAATGTCGGCCCATATTGATAGGATAGCATCTTGCAGTTGATGGAGATTTGTGGGATGCACATCCGGGGCACGAAGCTCCCGTTCCACCACATCCCAAAGATGCTCTATTGGGTTGAGATCTGGTGACTGTGGGGGCCATTTTAGTACAGTGAACTCATTGTCATGTTTAAGAAACCAATTTGAAATGATTCGAGCTTTGTGACATGGTGCATTATCCTGCTGGAAGTAGCCATCAGAGGATGGGTACATGGTGGCCATAAAGGGATGGACATGGTCAGAAACAATGCTCAGTTAGGCCGTGGCATTTAAACAATGCCCAATCGGCACTAAGGGGCCTAAAGTGTGCCAAGAAAACATCCCCCACACCATTATACCACCACCACCAGCCTGCACAGTGGTAACAAGGCATGATGGATCCATGTTCTTATTCTGTTTACGCCAAATTCTGACTCTACCATCTGAATGTCTCAACAGAAATCGGGACTCATCAGACCAGGCAACATTTTTCCAGTCTTCAACTGTCCAATTTTGGTGAGCTCTTGCAAATTGTAGCCTTTTTTCCTATTTGTAGTGGAGATGAGTGGTACCCGGTGGGGTCTTCTGCTGTTGTAGCCCATCCGCCTCAAGGTTGTGCGTGTTGTGGCTTCACAAATGCTTTGCTGCATACCTCGGTTGTAACGAGTGGTTATTTCAAAGTTGCTCTTCTATCAGCTTGAATCAGTCGGCCCATTCTCCTCTGACCTCTAGCATCAACAAGGCATTTTCTCTCACAGGACTGCCGCATACTGGATGTTTTTTTCACACCATTCTTTGTAAACCCTAGAAATGGTTGTGCGTGAAAATCCCAGTAACTGAGCAGATTGTGAAATACTCAGACCGGCCCGTCTGGCACCAACAACCATGCCATGCTCAAAATTGCTTAAATCACCTTTCTTTCCCATTCTGACATTAAGTTTGGAGTTCAGGAGATTGTCTTGACCAGGACCACACCCCTAAATGCATTGAAGCAACTGCCATGTGATTGGTTGATTAGATAATTGCATTAATGAGAAATTGAACAGGTGTTCCTAATAATCCTTTAGGTGAGTGTATGTTGAGCAACTATATTTATAAAAACTAACGATACTCGGTTACTAACGTAACCTCGGTTCTCTCTAGAGAGGGAACGAGTATTGCGTAAGTTTAGCTTACGCTACGGGAAAGATTCATCTTCTCGAGATATTGAAGCCAAAAAAATTATCCTTAATTTTGTATTCATTGTCAACGCAGTGCAGCAGCTAGCAGACCTAGAGCTGGCCATCTCGCGTGCTTATTGGCTGCCCTGCATGCATCTGCTGCAGCCTACCAGTGAGCCCCGCGTGACGTCACACCCAATGAAGGGCGCTCGCGCCTTCATAGCGTCATAGCCCGCCAGAATGGGCGTGGCTTAGCGTATATAAGAAGGGGCTCGTAGGCTGAATTCCCTGGTTTTTCGACAACTGAAGCGAAGTCGCTCGTGGCGCGAGCACGGCCGGTTACGCAATACTCGTTCCCTCTCTAGAGAGAACCGAGGTTACGTTAGTAACCGAGTATCGTTCTCTTACGAGAGGTTCTCTCGTATTGCGTAAGTTTAGCTTACGCTACGGGAACACTTTGTCAACGCCGTGCGCGCCAAGCATCCACCATGAGGCCCCGAACTTTCAGGGAACCCCTATGAGGTGGAGAATAAGGTGGCCAGCTACGCGGGCCATCACTTGTACATAAGCACACATAGGGAATACAGAGCAGCGCACCGGT